TGCCCGCTAACAATGCCCTGCGGTTGTTATGGATATTATTATATGTTTCATCTCTAAGGTATTATGAGCCAATAATGTATAGGTGAAACATAAACTGGTTTAAGATCGCTTGATGAAAATGGGCCTAAGTTTCGGCGAGAATGGCAATCCTCCTGCAAACCCATTTCGTAAGGGTGCAACGGAAAACGTCCATATTGGAGTTCCATATCATGTGCATGCAACTCATGCTCAGAAAATGACCCGGAAATTTGTGCCGCTGCCTCCCCTACTATTTCAGGATTATAGATGTCGCCGAAATTTGGTTTAAAAATGAGTACGTGTTCTACAGCACCCTCTACTATATGAACCAGACCAAAAAATTGATAATAGTGCATTTTTAGTTGAGGCACACATTTAATTCATCGCATTTTGGAAAACACAAGGAAGCAAAATGCTGTAGTTGATGAATAGCAGACTCATTTCACTTATTTGGTAGTAAAATTCATTGAGTAGACAGACAATTATAATAAGATTCCCTTACCTGGCTTATCGAAATTCCGGATTCACTGGAGAACCTTGGACTATACACAGGCGGTGGCTGAGCTTGAGACACAGTTAGCGTAGAAGGCGCATTTTGTTCCAAGTGACGGTTCGGATACTTCCCAAAATTCGCTTGCTTTTCCGCTTCCATAAGATAAGGTGCTTTGCCAGGCATTGCCATACTCGGCGATACTGTTAGAGAGGATGGGATGTTCGGTATATTTAAGCTCTTGAGCAACCCGGAAGCAGAGCTTGAAGGCAACTTTGAAACCATTTTTTCAGCTTCCATATTCTTCAGCATTTGCTTCGAATCTTGCTCCTTCTTCTTGTCGGCCAACTTCTCTTGCAGAGTTTTTCCCGATGTTGAAGCTGGTTTGAAAAATGAAGGACTGGACACTGGCGGTGGAGTAGCTGGCATAACATGTGCTGATTTCGGGCTGGTAGAAGAATGGGCCGCAGGAGCCTGAACTACTGAAACCGAGTTGGAAAACTGAGGCGTAGCTACTGGAGCCGGTTTCGTAAACGTTGCCGAACTTGTTATTGTTGATGTGTATGCTGACTTTGGCTTCATATGGGATAAAGTGCTATCAGAACTGCTCGCATTCGACGTATGAATAGGCTTCGTGGCACTAAGACTCGACGCAGACATGGATTTTTGCTTCGGTATACTGTAGCTAGAAAATTGCGCATGCGGCAAAGGCGAAGATGCATTTTTGGTTTGCGCCTGTTTAGACGTGCTTTGTCCAATAACGTGGGTTGATGGCAAATTTCCCACCGGTGTGATCGAAATACTTGGTCGGTCCTTCATTAGTAAGTTGGCTGCTTTACTCTCAATGTGATTCATCAAATTGGGATGGGCAAATTTGGGCCCCAACTTTGGTTTTAAATTCGGCCTTGCGGTCGCCTTTAACTTTGAATAATCGGGCTGAAGCTTCGAAGTTGCCAGTGTGGTGTGCGCCTTTCCACTGTGCCCCTGTTTAAACGAACTTACTGCAGTTGATGTAGTCGAATGCGTGCTTTTCATTCTGCTAGTTTTCACACACGCCTGCTTTGTCATGTTAGGCAACAGGGACTCCAAAATTTTCATCTGCTCCTGTGGAGTGCTTCCAACCGTTGTGGAAAGTGGAGTATTGAAACCTCTGAGTAAATTGGTGGGATTTAACAATGGCGTTGAAGATGCTGCAGCCCCACCTGAAGTAGGAGGTCTAAGTAAGCCAGGGTTTGACGAATTGTACAAATTGGCCTGGGATAAAAATTGGCTTGCCACCGCTTGAGCAACTGTAGGATTATTCAGTTGTCCGCTGGTAAAGAAACTAGTTAAATGTTTAAGCTGAGTTAAACTTAAGTTTTGGCTGTACTGCTTGATTAATTCATCTTGGTAGTGCTTTAAATATTCATAATTGAAATTTGCACCGTACATGGGATTCTGCCAAGGATAAGCACCAACTCCGCTAGTTCGGGTGCTTGGGCTCTTTGCTCGAGATTGGCGTATCTGGCCTGGCATTTTAGGTAGCGGAGGACGTCCGCGGGGTCTGTTTACTCCTGGTGGCTTCAGCGATTTTTGTGAAGGTAGTAAGATATTCGGGGTAGGAAGAACCGGACTATTGGCAAGTCCAGGACTTCGGCCCGCATAACTAATGCTTGGAGTTGAAGTCCCGCTCTTCTGCTTTTCAAGTGGCTTGTGCTGTTGGCAGAATTTTACCGCCAAATCTAGCACATTCACATTTTCAGGAACCTCTTTCATGTACGTTTTATACGCATTAATAAGCAAAGCGGAAAATGTCGATTCCTTGTTCGGTATATATTTTTGAGTTCGCTGATATATTCTAAATATATCATGTAACAACTTTGTTACTTGCTGGCTCTGCAAATTGGGGATATTTGTTATTTGGCCTCTGAAGCTCTGCACGCACATCTCCATAGCTTGCTCACAATAGCTAACTCTGTCACTATCTTTAATGTAAATTTTATCTCTGTCTGGAGCTTTCTTCAGTTGCATACAAAGCTCTACTAAAGTTTTCGTATCATTGGTGTTCCTCAACACTTGAAGAACCAACGAAATGCATCGATTCATATGAGCGGCAAGAGAGCCTGGTCTATCTATTTCCGTGGACGGTATTCTCCAGATTCCATTAAAGAAGTGCTTACTGGTTCTTTCCGAAAATAATCCCTTAATCGCTACATTATCTTTGCACTTGTACTCTCCCAACAGTAACTGTTTGCACTTAGCATAATCCTTGCGTCCTTTGTAATTGAAGAACAAGTGTGAAAGCCTGTATAGAGCTTTATAATTTTGGGGTAATCGCGAGACGCAAATTTCCAGACCCTGAACGCACTTGTCTACTATTTGCAGAGTTTCACCGTGTGAAATATTTTCGTTAGTCGAATCGCTGGTGGAAGATGTCGAGGAACTGTCGGAATCATCACTATCGGAGTCGGAACTACTGCTATCACTGCTGCTAGATGATGAAGAACTCGAAGACTCTTCATCGCCTGAAGGTTTTTTGTTCTCTTTCGCGCGCTCACTGTCCTCGGGTAGATTTTGCGTTTCATTCGAAAGAGATTTGGCTTTCGGATCATCGGTTTCCTTAGATTGGGCTGCCTGATCTGCAATAAAAATATATAATTATTAATGGCTTGATCAGCTATTTCCTTGCTTATTGTATATATGTACTTCATTTTCAAAAAATGTGAACTTACCTTTTGAATTTGAATCATCCTTCGAAACCACTTGATCACTTTCAATTTGTCCACTGTTATTATGATCCGAATACTCTGTGTTCTTCATTGTTTGCTCCATCATCTGATCCAGCACAAGCTGGACATCGTTAATTCCTTCATTGGCATCAACAATCATTTTTTCATCTTGGGAAAAAGAAACTTTTTCAACAGTTTCTTTTTTATTATTTTTTAAACTGATATCAGGTGCATCGATGTTTTCTTCTTCCGAATCTGAAATAATCATTATGACTTCTTCATTCTCGACGATAGTAACATCCATGTCTTGTGAGTTATCCGATTTAACTGCAGTATCCTCTGCTCTGGTCTCTAGGATATTTGCCTTTGGCACTTCAACACTGTTTTTATTGTTAATAATGTTTTCAACTTTGCCAAGCAAATCTTCCAAGCAACTTTTAACGATCTTTTGTGCTTCGCCCTCATCTTCGACTTCTGTTGAAGTTAAAAATTGATCTTGAAAATTTGTCGAAGCCGCTTGGGTTGTTATCATCATTGCATCATCAACAAGTTGCGGTGTTCTAAAGAATTTTTTTCTATATTATATCTATATTCTAAAGCACCTTTGAAATTCGATGGAAAGTAAATTATGTATAACAAACTTACGGCAGGGATGGCGGCACTTCAATGGTATAACGTTTGGCGGTAGTAGATAGACACTTTTTAAAAAAAATGCCCATTGCATTCGTTATAGCCTTGCCTTCATGCAACTCTAAATACTTCAATATGGACGCGTGAATTCTATAATGCAGTTCCAGAGCTTCCACGGATAAATGTTGAGGATTGTTATACGATATTTTTTCAGGGTATAAAGCCTTGTTTTCATTCAGAAGATTGCTTGCCTACATTTAAAAAAATTGTATTGGTAAATATTCGCATTCCCAACAAATTATTAGAAAGCAGAAATAACAGTCCTCTTTATTGAAAGACGTTGAAATTGTTAAGGATGGCAGGGCGAGTTTCAGTTGTGAGCTGCACTACGTGACGAGTGTTAACTCATTTGCGTCCAGAGAACTACACTGATCTCCAAATTAGCGCATCAACTATACATTTTCGAATTAATTATTTTTCCCCAAGTAGGCTGGTAAATAACGTAACTCATTCCAATGCAAGTTTCTACTTGTTTTGAGCAGGGGCGGATCCAGCTTTAAAGTCAGGGGGGGGGGGTTATGTAGAAAAAATACAGTCTTCTGTTATCTATGAAATTAGAAAAATGATCGTCGTTTTGTGCAAGAGTGGCGCAAGATTATTGCAAAATTTAATGTTTTCCGTCCCGTTTTGCATGTTTCTCGGAAGCGAAATGAGCAAGAACGCTCGTTTTTACATAATTCCAGAGATAACTAAATGGCCTTTATTCGAAGTTTCTCAAGAACCATTCCAGCCACAGAATTCGTTTTGGCATCGATGGATAGAGAATTGAAAAGTCGATTCAGTCGTAACAACGTGAGTGAGGAAACTCGAGTAGTTTTGACCCAGAAAGCGAAATTTGAATATCAGACACTTAGGTGCAAGATTATGCCAAAATTTCATGTTTTCCGGCCTGTTTTTGCTCATATCTCGGAGGCAAAATGAGCAAGAACGCTCATTTGTACATCATTCTAGAGAGAAGTAAAATGGCCTTTTTAGAAAGTGAACCAACCAGTGACGCTGCTTTTTGCGAAGTTTCTCAAGAACCATTCGAGCCACAGAATTCGTTTTGGCATCGTTGGATAGACAATTGAAAAGTTGATTCAGTCGTAACAAAGTGAGTGAGGAAATTCGAGTAGTTTTGACCCAGAAAGCAAAATTTGAATATCAAACACTTAAGTTCAAGAATTCGTTTAGAACTGCTTCAAACTACGCAGCGGCGCCTTCCAGGGGTACTCACAGCATTGCACAGCAACTGACACTTCTCAGGCACCAACTAAATATCTAGGAAGGGCTACATTCCTACCACGTATGTAAGATACGCACAGCACAAGAACACATTAAAACAATGGCTTACTGAGCACCGGTAGCGATTGAGCAGAAGTTAAGTAACCGAATATGAGACGCTGCTCGAGAAGAGTGCATCTCATAATATATACTATTTCAACGATAGTGTTCTTCAAAGCAAGCGTTTTTTAGAAATATATTTGTATATAATTGCGTAAATTTATATGTTTTTGGCTTCGGGGGATATTATGGTTTCCGTGTCTATGAATTGCGTATGGGCCATAGATAACGACGAGTTTGACGAACGTCGAGCGAGGGAACGAAAAAGTGGGCTTTTAGGTTAAAATCGCGGTCAATGTTACCAACCACTGTCATTGTCACCAACACAATGAGTCAAAATTATTGCTTTTTTTCAGCAAGAAATAATCGCCCATGAGAACAATTGAATTTCACCTTTTTCCGACACCTGTCAATCGTCCTATTATTCGGAATTTTTTTCTAAAAATTCGCTTATGAGAACTAGTCTTAATTTAACGTTTTGCAACGCCCCCATCCGTAGCGCGAATAACTAAACTTTCGATCCTAAATAGGTTACATTTCTCCTTCTCCTTCTAACCAATGTTGAGAAATTTGCATATAGGGGCGTCCTTTGCTTTCTAGAGTTGGAAGCTTTTCATTAGTCGCATTTGAAATAAACAACTTTGACCTTTAATGACAGCAAGTTTAGTACAGAAAGCAAAGAAAAAAGTACTTCAGTCCAGGGAGCAAAGAAAAATTGTCATGAGAACAGTGATAAAGAGATAATCACAATAACAAGTTTATCTAAAGGAAATTCTCAAGAAGAATTGTACATGGCAAAACATGGTACTTACTGTTACATAGTACTGTAGGTATTCAGATGGTTCTTTACGTTTCTTCTCGGCGATTTTGCCTAAAATATAGTATTGCAGCCACCGCTCATCAGGTTCATTACTACTATCGATCTCATAAAGCTTTATGGCATGCTCCAAGCTATTTCCTGAACTATCCAGATAACTTTCTTTTTCAGACTCGAGCAATTCAAATCTATAACAATGACGAATTTGGTTAACAGGCTGAACAAGCAACAAGGCAGATTACTCACTTTTCCATGCTGAAGTTTTCAGATTCGTATTTGAGCAAACGAGAACAGAATGAATGAACCAAATATTCAAATGATCCACATTCAATCCATAATACTAGATTTTCCGGATCAAGTTCCAAAGCTCGCCTAAAGCACATCTGCGCCGATTTAGCTTTATCGAAAAAATCCGATTCATTTTTCAGTTTTTCGCAGTAATTAAGCGAATTTTCTAATTGCGCTGCATAGCTAAGAGCCAGGCCGGCCCATGAATCTACGCGCAACGGGTTGATGCATATGTCCAGTTGGAAGTACTTAATGCATCTTGCAAAATCTCTTTCTTTAAAATAGTAATCTCCTAAAGATCACAACAAAGATTAAGAAGGCAAATTATTTCAAACTCGCTTTCTCTCAAATATTTACCTAGAAGATAATAAATTGCTTTAACTCGTCCGGGAAATTCAATGCAATGTGGAACTTGGTTGGTTTTTCCATTAATAAAGTCCAAAATTAAAGGTAAGTGATCATACAGAGCACAAATGTTCGGTATTAGACCAATAATCCGTTTGAATAACTGCTCAAGATCAGCCGAAATGGACTGACTTTTATAAGAGTTGAATTCCGGTAGGCTATCGGGTGCATAGTATTGGTACAGTTGAAATGATCTCTGCCAGGTTAGAGGAATAGGATTTACGTTGTGGTCAACTAAATGGCGGGAAATCTGAAAAATTGCCGCAATACATCAAAGGGGAAATGTTAAAGTAGTCGCTTAGTCAAAAATAAGATCAAACCAGGACTTTGCAGTTAATTTAAAACGATATCGTTATATGAAGAAATTTAGAAAATACTTTAAATCTATAGATACGAGCTCTAACAACTATATATATATTGTTGTACGCGCAAAATTGTAATTGAATCATCATAATGTTTAATTTAAATATATTTTTTTAGTTTACAGTTGAAAAATCGGTTCTCATTCAAATTACTAGTAACATGTTTACGCATTACTTTTTCACTTCTCAACAACTACAAAACTAAATAGCAGAAATGTTAAAAATTACATGACAAATAGATATTAGGACGAGTATTTGATTGACGACGTGTGCTTAGATCCTATAGATAGATAGAGCTTAGATAATATATGTCCGCTTGAATTGGATAAGTTTCATACTTTCACATAAATGCATAAGAAAATGACATGTTGCAACCGTGCATAAAAAGACAAAAAATAAAGCAATAACGACCATTATCGAATTGATATTTTGAATATTTTTGACACTTTTCTTATCACTGACTTACCTTGTTCTTTTTACTAGGATATAAATAAAGGCAAAACAATGCTTGTTCAATGTGAATATCAATTTTATCCCTAAATGGCTCAAATATAGGAGTATCGAGCCTGTCCAATATGGTGTCTAAAATGAAGTGTAGTAGTTCTCCATTGCCCGTCAAACACCAACCTTTTGGACCTGGAAGTCACAGAAAACTGATAGAGAATGTGTAAGATTTACAAAATTTTAGAAACACTTAACAAATCTAGATAATTTCTATAAAATACTAATAAAATTCAAATAATTTTCACATTATTTAGTACATTTGAATGTGAATTTGTGTTTGTTTTGGTATATCCGAACTTTTTGTAGATACTGTATACCGGGTGTTATTTAATAAGTGTCCGATAGTTTACAGAGCGGGTCTTCAGGTATTTTTAATATAGAAAGTTCATATAGGCATGGCGCCGCAAGACCTTATTTATCGGGCCACATAGCGACAAAAACATTAACTTTAAGTAGCAACGCTTAGTGTGTATGTACCATTACACAATTTTCAAAAGTTTACAAAATAGTTGCACTCTTTGAAATAAAATAAGCCATTTTAAATAACCTAATTTAAAATCTGAATAATTGCAAAAATTCGAAATATTTACCTAAGAATTCATGAGCTGAGAAAAGAATCGCAATAGATGGAGGTAGTTCTTCCTCAACTGGCTCCGGCATACATTCTTTGGATGTATCCATCTTATCTCTTTTTGCTTGATTCAATCTCTTATTGGCATACTGTCTCTGTTCTTCCCTAAATGAAATGGTACAATTATTTAATTACAATGGAAAATGAAAAAATAGTGGCGCCTCATTATCGCTTTCAAGCATCAGAGGAACGGAAATACATATGACGTGACATTATAATTAAAAATAGTACTCACCTGAGCAGAATATAATGCAAAAGTACCCATGCTGTAATCGATCCTAGAGGGATCGTTAATGCCACGTCAGCATTCAATTGCTTACAAACTATCTTCACTAGATTTTCAACCAAACGACGTCGTTTCTCCTCGGTAAGTTTATCTATGATGCTCACGGATTCCTTATTAATTATTTCCTGGAATATGCCCAAGCATTTTCCCACGATTTTTTCCCATTTATCATAATCGGTATTGCGGCTCACGTAATTTCTGATTGCTTCGTTTAGACATTCTTCAGTCCAAATAAAACAATCCTCCCAATCAGTAAACCATAGCGAATGCATTAAAATGCCTAGAAATGTATTTATATGCTAATCAACAGACAACAAAACACGGATTTATTGACATTGAATGAAAATGTGAAAACATTGCTCCACTTGTACCTACGAATTTTTCCAAATTCTAACGATGACATTAGGAAAGCAACATGTTTCACATTCAGTAATAAGAAACTTGTTCACTTAATTTACTAACTGTAATATTAAGATTGAAATAGATATACATAGGGGTGTCCAAGATAAGGATGAATTTCGTGGAGATCTTCGAAACCGTGAGAGATACGAATTCGGTTAACCGAAAATCGGAAACTGAAAACCCTGCGTCCAAAAATAAATAAACTACAGAGGTGTTTCCATCTTAAGTGCGACACACTGTATATGGGCCTATGATTGCAAACATTTTTCCTAATTTAACCGACTTTGCATCCTCATATGGTTTCGGAAATCTGCAATGCATCCTTATTTTGGACACCCTGTATTTTTGCTTTCAACTTTAATGACAAAACCAGCGTTAGACCAAAAAGGCAATCGACCAACTGGTACATAATGGAATTAGGAAATATATTTGTAAGTACTTACCCAGTTGAGCCGGTCTACCCATTCTGCCTACTTTTGAGTAGCTTCCGGAAAAAAACGTTTCTTTTAAAATATCAGCAACTTCGGAGTATTTTTGAGAATTGAACAGATTTTCTATGTTTCCTAATGAAATTATCATGTTCATATGTTTAATCATTGTCTCAATAATGCCCTTAGATATGAAGCCATATTTCATACAATTAGGAAGACTAAGAGTAAAATTATCAGCAATTTCTTTTCCCTTTGCATTAATTTCCTCAAGAATGGCTTCCAATGCATGAATCGCTAATTCGTTGTCATCTGCCTTTTGAAAGCAATGGGCTTGGAGCCAATAAAATCGCATAAAAACCATTGAAAACTCGTCTTTCCAATCATCATTCCAACTGCTAACAATTTGTAAATAGCTCAGATATGTCGGATGTAGTGATTCGGTACTCCCAGAGCTAAAAGTATGTAGTTCTCCATAAAGGAGTGTCGCCAAAGCATCTTCTCTTATTTGCTCAAATGAATGATCTCCGCAAAATGGCTGAGGTTGATCGTAGTGTTCCCTGAACATTTTGAATGCCTAAAAACGACTGTTAGAATAACGTTGTATTTCAATTGTACTAAAACAATACCTCAATATATAACGGAATGAGCTCTTTAGGCCACTTGAGTCCCCAGAATTTAGACAGTTCAAAAACTAGTTCTTTTACTAATACAATTGCATCCACTATAGAACGCTCTTTAACCCAAAAATGTTTTACGTCTTCGGTTTCGTGGTCTGTTCCAAAATATGGCTCAACGGTTATCGACATTGGAGAATGAATAGGTGAGATCAGGTGCAAGTCTTTAGTATCCATGTACAAGTTATAAATATCCATAGTATTCATCGAGTCTTCTTCTAAAACGTATTTTTAATTACCTATAGAATATGCTTAATTGTTTTGTGGACGAAAAATGCATCAAGTATTGTTTGATAACGACACCAAATGCCTACCGTCTGGACTCAACATTTTGCTATTGATTTTTGTCTTCAGCAAACTTTTCGGAATTATCCTGTTAAGCGCATCTTCAATCGTAAAATCCCGGTTCGATTTCTTCGGCTGTTTGCGTTTGCTATGCCAACCCCATATTTGCAAGTCAGAAAGCAAGTCTCGTTTCCGCTTTCCTTTCCTTCTCTGTTGTGCGATGTCAGCATTATCGCCATCCATGTCGTTGTCGTTATCCAGTTCCATTATTTGTTCCTTAAACAGATAACCAGGTTATTGATGAGTTGAAATCCATATGCAGCTTAAAACCCACACATAAAAACTAGGCAATATTTATCTGGATTACTAAAATTTATTTCACTCAAAATATATTATGGTTGGTTTACGCAAGAGAATAAGGATAAGGCTCTAGGCATAGGAATAACGCTAAAGGTAATAAGGAACAATATTATTTTATGTACAGAGTGTTTCCTCATAAGTTGACAACCCCCTAGACGGTTTATTTCTAAAAAATTGTGACAGTGACCAATACAAAAGTTGCTTCATTTCACAACAAATTTTTAATCTGAATTTAACGGAAATCTCAAAATGTGACATAAAGTATTTTTTTAAATGAAACACCCTATATATTTTTAGACACAAAAATGAACTTCTTTTTCCTGATTTCAAAAATAAATATTTTTCCTATATGCGAATCAGCCGTTTTGCCTATATTACGTTTTAAAAATTATAAATAGCAACAAATCAAAGTAGCCTTGAAATTCGACAAGGCGCTCCCTACATACCATAAGGTTCGACCGGTAGCACTTTTCTTATATTAAAATGTTGATATGTGGATTGGTCGAGCGGGTCCTATCCAACGGCCTCCAAATAGCCCCGACCTAACGCCTCTTGATCGTTTTGTCTGGGGTTATTTAAATATTGTGTATGAGAATCAAGTTAGACGCCTTGAAATAGTGGATGCAATTAACGATATTAATATTAATCATAAAATAAAGATATAATTCAAGTGGATTATAGAGCATATCTAGCGTTAAACGGAGGTCATATACAAAATCGGTGATTTTAATGATTTTGTTTTTATTTATTTACTTGTTTTGACATTTCTAGCAGCAATAGATTCCGTTATGTGGTCATTCTCTAGTTTTTGTGTCATCTCAGCCTACTTTAGCTCGTTGCTATTTAAAATTTTTAAAACATAATACAGAAAAAACGGCTAATACAAATCTAGTCAATATATATATATTTCTGAAATCAGGAAAAAAATCTGATCTACCTACCTGTCTAAAAATATATCGGGTGTTTCATTAAAAAAATACTGTATGTCAATTTTTGACATTTCAGTGCTTTATATCTTTATTCTAAATTCAGATTTAAAAAAATTGAGTAATTAAACAACTTATGTGTTGGTCACTTTCACAATTCATTTGAAATAAACGATCTAGGGGGATGTCAATTTATGAGGAAACGCCTGTACAGCCAATCAAATTGCAGCATAGGCTTAAGAAACAATAGGATTGTGTTTATGTCAACAATGTGAACTGTTTATGTCAACATAATCGCGGGTGACATATCAATAAAAGCTTATTTCATATCAAATTTGTACATTAAAATAGTAGGTGTAGCTCCTTTTGGTTTAATAATATAGTTTATCTAACCTCACTAAAAAATGTGATGTTTGTCAGTCACGTGGGATATTGAAATATCGTTTATCTTTAAAACTGCGCATGCCCCATACGAATAACGCCTAACGCATAGCACCTAAAGATAAAAGTTGGCAACTTTCTTGAGAGTTATTCCATAAGCGTTCGACACTCTTCGGTTTGTAAACACCTTTCTGGACTGATGCGTAACGTGTGATATAATAATATCACACTGTATATCAGTGTTTAATATGGTTGTTGCTAATATCAGCCTTGATTGACTAATGATGTCAGCGTCGACCCACTAAAGTATGTTGTGCTGTCGCACCTGATAAAGTGCGAATATTAAATAAAGAGAACTAATTCAGACATCAATAGTAGAAGTTGTTTCTATTTCCTCATCCCACCAATGGTCACTAATAGTTATCACATGGCGACCCTGCCAAACGAGTGATTCTTTTAGTCAGTGATGAATATTGTCCCAATATTAGGGGTATAAAATCGGTTCTTCATAGTCCAAGGAAGAAGTTATAATTGCACAGGCTGGTAATAGTGGAAGCCAAGATGTATCAACAAAGTTTGGCTCCATCCAAGATATTCAGTCATGGGTTTTAATTGGGTTAGCAGTAACGGCATTAGCATGGCTGCTTTATAGACAGTTCAAAAGAATAAGAAGAAATTATAAAAAGCACCAAAAAGGTTTGTTCTGTTCTGAATATCGTAGGGGATAAAAAAAACCCACAATCTTATCAATATTCGACGATTTTGCGGCTACTAGAGGCGGATATGCTCCGAACAAATAAAACACACAAAAATCGACAATACTAGAAAATACTAGAACTGCCGTTTAACGTGGCGTCGGTTATTATTTACTGATAACTTTTGTACTCCCTTCCTTCAAAACTGTCGATAATATCGAAAAATGCGCAGGAGAAGAAAAATGTATATCGGTGAATACACCAAGCAGCACGTCACCTTGTTGAATTATCAGTTGAATATAATTAAATTTTACATAATTATTCCCATTTCTTGAACTATTTTCTTTGTTGAACATACCTCATCGTTATCAGTTTGTGTATTTGTATTATCCAAGTTTTCATTTCCATCAGTATTTTCACTTGCTTGCGAAAATCGCCTTTCTATCACAATGGGTTCAGTTTGCATTTTCTCAACAGCGCTCGATGTCTCTGCCAGAATTTCGACAGGTTTGGCTTCGCCTCCGCTATTATCTTTGATTATCGCTACATCTTCAGTTGTCCTATGAATTGGTAAAACTTCAGTGCTTTCTCCCGACTGACTCATGCATTTGCTCATGTCAAAGTATGTGAAGTGGCTCTACAACAGTGCTTAGTTAAATCAAACAGGATTAAAAAAAAACAATAATAAAATACCATATTGTGCTCAGTAATATATTGGTGGCAATATATAACGGTTTTTGCCAAATCTAACCATGTATATTCTTCTGGACTTTTTGGCAGAGGTATAGTATCCAATGGCTTAGGACCTAATGAAGATTCTAGTGCAGTTACCCTATTGCACAAACATTCGGCTTCTTTAAGGATATCCTCTTCGTCCGCTTTATCGACGTTCGGCTCGTAAATGCTACAAACGAGACAATCGTCACTGTTTTTAAAACAGTTTCTTTAAACATCAAAGCATCAAAAACCACTTAACGATCAAAGTGCATAGTATACGTACTAATCGGGATTGAAAAGTTTGTAGTATTCCTTAGTGGCTGGATTGTCTTTATATATCTGCTTCCTTAAAACTATTCCTTTGGTATAATCCGCATCCAGCATTAATGCTTTGCCAATATAAACCAAACAGGAAACAGTATCCTTAATAGCGTACAGCACAGAAATAAGGTTGTCTAAGCATGGCCAGTGAGACTCATTGCACTCTAATCCCTGAAAGCGACATTAATAGCGTTTGAAATTGTAACAGTAAAAGTAAATAGCTTTCCAAAGTACAATACTGGAGAAACCGCAAACGTACCTTGGAAAATGCATAAGCTGCTTTATTGAATTTGTCTTCTTTGAGAGCCAATTTTCCAATTTTTGACCATAATGTAACATCAGTCGAATCCAACTCCGAGGCCTAGAAAGCAATGAAAAACGCACAAAACTTTTTTGGAAAAATATTTAAAACATATACACAAAGTGTTTCATGAGGAAGGGGCACTATTTTAACTAATAGAATAATTCGTACCTAGAATAAGGTACGAAAGTACCTCTAGTTTGCTTTATAAACCCTAGTCCAAAAATGCTTCGTTACGGATTTGCAGGTTGTTGAAATTTAGTTTGAAAAAAATATATATACAGGGTGTTGCAATAAGGATGGTAAGCGGCTGTATCTTGGAAGGTATGTGTTGTAGAGTGATCGGAAAACATGAAATTTTGGCATAATCTTGCACCTAAGTGTTTGATATTCATATTTCACTCTCTGGGTCAAAACTACTCGAAATTCCTCACTCACGTTGTTACGACTGAATCGACTTTTCAATTCTCTATCCAACGATGCCAAAACGAATTCTGTGGCTCGAATGGTTCTTGAGAAACTTCGAAAAAAGCAGCGTCATGTTCAAGTGGATTTTGATCGCAAACTAGGGTTATTTTCGGACGTAGAATACGTGGTTAAGAACTTCCTCATGAAACACCTGCCATAAGCAACTAGGGTTTTCTTACATCAGTAAAACATTCCAAAGCCTTATTAATATTATCCTGATTCAAATAAATGTTTCCAAGATTGACGTAACATGAATATTTTAATGTGGACATTGACTTTGGCAAACCCCCATTATTTTCCAGTTGGGGTATATTTTCATGAAGAATTTTATCAAGCATAGTTGCGGCATATTCATAATTCTTCTCTGTTTGTGCCCGTAAGGCGTTATTGTACAGTTCTAGTACTATTTCCTCCTGAAATAATTAAAACATTCTTATTACTAAATGGTTATATTAGTTATAAAAAGTAAAATAAGGAAAATACGTAAGTAGTCGATCTCTCCTCTTTTATCTGTATTGTTGTTGATATCAACAACACATTTCACACTTTCTCGCTACTTTCTCAACGGTGGAAGAGCAGGATAAAAACCCGAATAAAGAGCCAACAAACTTTACTTTTTATTCAAAATCGCTCTATTTAGTAGAGTTTCACTTAAAAATACTGATGATCTGGAGGTCTGTTACGCGAAAAGCTACAAGATAAATTTATTGCTTTGTAAAAAGTTTCAAAAACTCTTTTCGGCGTCGAATTTGGGACAAAAACGAAAATAAATTCCTCCCGTTTTCCCCGAAAACCATTAAGGTTTTCTCCAAAACCGATCGCAAAACTAAAAGTTTTTAATCCAAAACGCAAATAACCAATTATTTCCCGATGATTTTTTTCTTTTCTGACAATAGTATCTTTTCAGCCAGAAATTACAAAATTAATTTTGCTACATTCGCCGCATTCATCGGTTTGCAGGGAGCTTCAGAAAACCCATTTCAGCTTCGAATTTGGCAGAAAAACCAAATAATTTAATTCAGTTCTTTACCAAAAGAGCAAAAGTTAACAAAAAATATTTGGAAAATTCGCCGCCCTCATCGCTCTGAATATTTTTAAAGTTCCTTAAATTTTCAGGTCATTCCAGTTTTAAAAGGTTTCTATTAGGCAATTATTTCTATCCAAAAATCGCATTATTTTTTGGTTTTACTTATACTGACAATATTTAGGTATTTTCTGTGAAAATTGTAAGATAAATGTTATTGGCCTCATTAACCGCTTTGCAAAAATGTTTAGAAAACTTGCTGAAGCTTCGAATTATGGACAAAACCCTAATAATTACTTCTGGGTCTTTTCCCAAAAATTTTCGACGAGCTGAAAAAGCGAAAGTTTATAATCAATTATTGGAAAAACTCTTGGAAACTGGGATTTCTTCACTTTTAGGTCAAATTTAGGTATTTCTAAACAACACTGTCTCTAAACAGAAAAACCGCGTTTTTCCTAACGTTTTACTGTAAAATACTGGCAAACTGAATTTTGTATGTAAAAAAATTAAGAGATCGATTTTACAAGAAAACTCGTCGACTTTCTATGGAGTCAGTTCGGTTGATGGGAAAATCTAGATTACTTTTTTTTGTTGTTTGAACAAAGTAGTAAAACGTTACTCAGAAAAAAATGTTAATAACTTTTTTTTAGATGTGAAATTCCAGTCTCGGGTCTCGTAATAAATGTCTTATAACTCATTAACCGATGAGTTATAACTCGTTAACTCAGAAAGCGGCAACAACACAGTGTTACCCAGGCCTATCGCGGAGGTTCTCGACGAGACTCCCTGTATAAACAGGCTCACAAGTCCTCAAACATATAACTACTTACTTATAATGATTTCTGACTCTTGAGTACCAACGACAACATTGATATTATTTCCTAATCAACAAAGACTTACAGATTACATATATAACTTGCAGTAATAGAAGATATGGAGCATTAAATTTAAAATCCTAACTAAAGATACCTGTGCTTCTCTTCTAATCGTTGGAACGTCTTCATCCGATGAAGACTCTTGATTCAACGCTTTGATTTTAAGCATAATGTCGTAAAGGTCTTTCCTATACCAACGGTAAACACATAATTTTCTATAAGTATTCGCACAGTACGGAGAATTATATAGATTTGTATACTCTGGTTTGTTAGAGGAAGTAGATATTGTGAACTTTATTTATTTGTTTGTTTTTTACTTAACCCTCAAACTTAAAGCGGGCAAGATGACAACTTGCACTTGACAGTCTTGCAGAGTGGCCATCCAAAATTTTACGGTGATATTTTGAATGCTGCTGTTTGCCATGCTGACATTACTGACAGACTGAGTCTGCTTAGCTTTATCTTTTTCTAATGCAAATTAGTAAATGGAATTTGGTCTGAGAGGTACATAGTCGTCTCTTGTGGTTTTTCGTGTATGGTGTTAGGTAAACGAACAGACATAGACAGTCCATTTGCATGACATTTTCAGTCTGAATACTTTTATGAGGAAAGTGTTTTCATATTTGTTTATATCGTTATCGCATATAAATTTATTGTGGCGAATTAGGTGTTAGTACGCGTTTTAAAGTCTGGTATGTGCAATTATTCTCAAATGGTTGTGGAAAGCTAGCATACTTTGCGAGAACAAGAATAAATCAGATGCCCAGCCCACATTAAGGTATGCCTGACGTAATTTGTTTTGATCAACTTGTTTATGAAAATAGATTTTATTCATTTATTTAAATGATTTCAAAGAAATCGTTGTTTCAATTTGATGAGCTGGTTGCCCGACTGGAAAGCACTTGAAGCTAATAGGGACAAATTTTTCAATTCTCAAGACTCGTTAAGTTCATTGACATTTTCATGTATGCATTAGGTATGTGTTCTTATGCTTCCTTTTAAAATAATTAAACTCATTTGAACTATTATACCAATTCTAGACCTTCTAATATTGTGCATGGCGACGTACATTAGTACTACGTATTAATTAAATGCCCAAGTCTTATCCTAATTAAAACGCAGTGCATAAAAAGTGGCAATTTTTCTAATGCTGAATGGTTAAACTTTGGTTACGGAATGTTTAGATGGTTATACAATTTGACTGAGTGTTTAAAAATTATGTCAACTTTTTGGACAGTATCAAGAAGAACATGTTTTTTTTATTGTAAATCCACATTCAGCTAGGTTTTTAACCCATTTCGTTCTTTTTGTTCGTGGTCCGTTGTTCAGACGAGATCAGGTCCCATGTTGCTTACTTTCCCTTTAATCCGGTCCTGCACTTTTGTCCTCATGCTTCCTAGATATTTGCCGCAGTTTTTCCCCATTTTGAACAGCTTTGTCAGCTCTTTTTTGGAAATTCCGACATACTGATAAAATTTACCTTTCGCTTTTGGTTTCATTTCTGAAATTGATGCAACATGAAAAGATCTTGAAAAAGACTTTAAAAGCATAAAATATGGTACTGGTTAGTGGTCGTACAATTTTAATATGTTTTAATCCCTGTCGGTGTTTGGTATTATCGTTATATTAACAGGATTTTAATCCCTGATGGCATAATGCAGAGATTTAACGAAGAAACCACAAACGAAAATGGGGATCTACTGAAAATATTCTGCTCAAACAACAACATGAGAATTAAAAACACTTTCTTCGCACGTAACATGAAGTACAAATTCACATTGCAAAATACAAGAGGACAGCAGTTGGTATTAGACTATATTATCACAAACAAAGGGGTCGTACCCCAAACAATATCGGACGTAAAAACTCTAAATGGCGCCAACTTTGGAAGCGATCATAAGATGGTACTTTGCAAAATGAGACTGAATATACCCAAATCAACAAAACCTAAACCGCAAATTCAATGTCGAATCATTAGAAGATGACAGCACTAAACGTCTGTATGAAGATCGATTAAACCAGAAAATACTGTAAAGATCAATGAATAACGAAGAGAGCATAGACCACCAATGAAAAACAATAAAAAATATCATACTAGATGCGGCCATGGATGCAATAGGAAAGCGACAGGTAAACATCAATACAGTGAACAGAACACCATGGTTCACACCGCAAGTGAAAGAACTAGCTAAACGAAAGAAGAATACAAACAACAAATATACTCGATATCAAACACCTGAAAACTGGAACAACTCGCGAAGAGAACCAAACGAGGCAAATGCAAATATACGATAACTAAAAGGAAGCTATTGGGAAGAGTTCACAAAAGGAATGGAAAGAGACCTATATGGAAGCCAGAGAAAAATATGGAGAATGCTGTGAAGAAATAAGCTAGAAGTCAAAGATACTATACGAACCAATAAAATTACTACAGAACAGTGGGAAACTCACTTTAGGAATCATTATACAAGACAGAGAAAGAGGAACAGACAAAAATCGATCATGAAGAAAACAGCGACATAGAATTAACAAATGTCACGATTAAAAACACCTTAAAATCGCTTCTTTAAATACGGAGGAAAAATATTTTAAAATGTCATAAGAGAACAGAAAATACCAAACGAATGGAAGAACAGCAGAACAGAAAAATCAGCAATTGGATATTTCTATTTCGTGTTCATACAGCTACATTATTTATACAGAATGGGGCTAACCCGGCAGACTGATATCGCAACGGTTCGCCTTATCATTTTCATGTTGGCTTATTGAAGTCATTACCTACTAAACAAGTCGAGACCTGTTATTTGATAAATCAGAGTAATGAAGACATTATTATTTAATAAAATTAAAGAGGTCTGCGCATTAGTGTTTTAGCTATATTGGTCTGGCAGGCTGTATCATTTCGTTCAGAAGTCCTGCAATGTGCAGTAGTGTTTGAAATATGTGCAAAATTGCGTGGGAACGTTGTAATTCTTCCAATTAAATATGAGTAAGTTGAACTGCCGGCTTATCATTTAAGATTAGTTTAATTAAAGCCGCCAGCAATAACAAAGAATGTCTTAAGTAGATACATTATGCATCATTTACTGTTAAATATGCTCCTTTCTACGAAAAATGCTCAAGAAGTAAATAAGTTGTTTATTAAATTTATCAAGTTTCTAAGAGAAAGTTAGCAAATTGTATCTCCAGTAATGGTTAATATTCGCCATGAATGTTCAAAAAAATTGCATGCATAAAACAATCGAATCCATTCAACTATGCAACACTTACGTAATTTTAAATGCAATTCTTATCTTTATCTTTTGCTCAGATTGCAAACATCCTGTTTTACTTATTTGACCTATCATAATGTGAGACTTTTTAGATTTTTTTAGGTGTATCAATTAGTAATATGATCTAGGTCTAGACTCGCTCAACAGTTATCTTTTCATATCCTTTTTTTATTTGGATCGTAAAAGATAAATCTATAGAAAAGATAATTAGACCATAAGCAAAGAAATAACAGTAAGGAACCATTCTACAAAAGAAATAGGTCTAGAGGAAAGCGGTGAAAAAATCGCAATTAACAACAATGAGTTCCCGATATCAGTAATCCCAAATATATTGAAACCAGAACGCATTTCCATTTACTTGCAATATCTCAAAGTTGGATAAGCCTATTAGTTTATTGCCTGGATTTTCCAAAATCTTGAAATTGCCAATGTATAAAAGAATTACGAAACTTATGAAAAAGATTATTTAACCTATTTAATGAAAATCAACATGCATTTTTAAATGGGAAATCTACGCAAACGGCCAACAAGAAGAAGCATGGCTTAGCTCATATCTTTTGAACGAGCTCAAATTGTAAACGTAAATAGTAAATAAAAACAGACAAAACTATTAATCAAAAATATTACATTTATAGCAATAATGGTAAAGCTCAGGGTAGTATAGTGGGCCCCTCATGTTTGTAATTTTTACAAATAAATGATATATATGCTGCCAGAGATGCAGGCGATGCCAAGATGTTGATTGGTAACAGATATTTTTCTCACCTGCTAAATAACACACATCGGTTCCTTGGGGTAGTAAGCAAATGGTTCGTTGAAAATAAAAAATACTACTACTTAAACATAACAAATGACGAATTTACCATACCAAAACTTTCTTGGGTTTGTACATGGATGAACATTTAGACTAGTCTTTTCACATAACTCAATTAATAAAAAAAATTTACACAACCTGCTATGGAATAAGAGTAATTGGAAAAAAAATGTTTGAAAACACACTTTGCAAATTTCGAATCCCTTTTGCGGTATGGGATCATTTTTTGGGGTGGAAAGGCCAGTATTCGAGAGTGTTTTGTCACTCAAAAGCAGGTAATTGGATTATTAAGAAAATGGATTTTAACTAATCGTGCAGGAATATATTTAAGCAGTGCGGGATTCTAACGGTAAATAGCTTGTATACTGTTGAGTGTCTTATGTTTTTGTATAAGAATAGAAGCTTGTTTCCATCACTAGGCTCTGAGAACCGGAACAGAAGATCAGAATTGTTTTCTTATCGTAGGCACCGACTACACCTCAGTCAAAAAAATCCAGCCTTTATAAGGTTAAAACTATTCAATAAATTACCTCCACAAATCAGACAAATTAAAGGTCTGGCTGTTTTTAAAAAAGAAATGAGAAAAGCGCGTCAAGCAGTTGTTAGTGCCTGGTATAGAATTTTTTCATTTTTCAAAACACAAATACTCTGACGTACGCCCACTACTGTGAGTAATATAATAGTATATTACATAATAAGAGTTATAAGGAGCACTTTACATACGAATGGAACAGTTCGAATTATGTACTATACTTTACCTACGACCGCAATAACTTACTAAAACTGAAAAAAGAAATTGTATATTTTAAAATATGTCAGTTTGACAACAATTAAAACGTTGACAGCAGTCCAGAATGACAAATTTAAACGTCACAGGTTCATAAACAAATATTTTATAAGTTTTAAGTTTTTTAATGAAACACCTTATATATTTTTAGACACGTTGTCTAGATTTTTTATATACAGGGTAATTCAAGGGGTGTTTTGAGAGTAAGTACAGGAAAAATAGTAAAAAAATTGTTATTAAAAACTGAGATACATATTTGCAAAAAACTATACATAAGGATGGCAACAACGTTTTTCAAGGTAATCTGCCTAATTAACATTATGTAAAAACCTGTTGCTTCGTAATTATTAAAAAGTCCAGTAACCATGAAGAAATACAGAGTGACAATAAGATAGATAAGGATAAAAAGTAAATTCAACAGGATTCATTAAATGTGAAATGTACTTTTTCAGAATGTCAACATTGTTATCATAACCTCGAATTGATGTGTACACTACACAAATAAATAAACATTTCAGTCTTTAACTGCAAACAGGTTAGTGCCTGTGTAATCATCTTCTATAATCACCTTATGACTCTTAAGGCCCTTGATAAACTTGACGTTTGCATTCCGTGCCGCTCGATATGAACCAATCCGAATTCAGTATTTGGTCGGACCAAATTAGCTGATTCAAAACATTCAATAACAACAGGAAAGATCTTAGGTTAAAAATTCGACTGACAGCAAACGGTAACGGCAAGTATATACATCGCCTTTTGTAGCGCAAACGGCAACGTCAAGTTTATAAATGGGCCTTTAGCACTCTTAGCACTCTTCTCGAGCAACGTCTCGCATTCGGTTAATTAACTCCTGCTCAATTTGTACCGGTGTTCAGTAAACCACTGGTTTAATGTGTCTTTGTGCAGTGTGTATCTTACATACATGGTAGGAATGTAGTCCTTCCTCGGTATTTATTTGGTGTTAACGTGATGGTTTCAAACGTGATATCAAAGAGCCACTTATATTTTCACTGAAAACGCTACTATTGCGAGTTGCGTGTAGTGATCATATGTTGCACACGTGGCCTGGCGAAAGAACGAACCCAAATAAAATTATTTTGTTCACTAAAGAAAGCTTGTATTCACGGGTTCTCTTGAGCTTGGATTTTATTGATATTTTTGGGAATCGTATGCACCATTCATTAGACGTATCCGATTGTGTATCAGTAGCCTGTTTGTGTATTTTTAAAATAATTTTCTGGGGACACGCTTAGTGTTTCTGTTTTGTTCATTTTTTCGAATTGAAGTTTGTTTATATATTGTGTTAAGCGACGGAAAATTACTTTTTTGGGGACCTTCTTTTCTGCATTAGATGATAATTTTGCAAAATGTAATTTATGCAAAGCAAAATTATGTCGCAAAACAAGTACCTACGTCGAATTAGAAACGGCACATAGAAAGCAAATCCCACAATATCAATAAATTCCGAAAATTTTCGCGAAAAGTAGGGAAGTACCTATTTGGACTCAAATAAAGTTTGTTCAGATCAAAAATTAAAATCAAATATAGCTTGTTCACAAAGAACTAAGAGCTACATACTCTATTCGTACTGGGTAAAACAATAGTTTTTTGTGCTAATTTTCATTTTTTTCCAGAATGTTTTTAGAACTCTTACAGTACATGGGTTTACAAAATGTGTAGCCAGTTGCTAGTTGCAGAGGCTGTTATTTTTTAGTGTCCTTAAAATCATTTGTACTTTAAGTATAAAATATGATTTGTTCTATACCTAAATAAGGTTATTTATTTTCAAAATATGAATTACAAATGTTCTAAGATTGTTTCTGCAAGTGATGCACAATTGCTCATCACTTTATGACGATGCTATATCACGAAAACGACAACCACAAGTGAAATCACATTCACAGGTTAAATTCACAGTTAAGAAGAAATCACATTCACAGTTATAACAGTAATTTTCAAATCACGCTTTAGCTCATCTCTAGTATCCACAGTGATCAGAGATTACAGTGGTTAATGATATGAAACTTAACTGCCAGTATAAGGTAGAAATAAAGCGTACAGTATTGCTGCACAAATAGCCCAGAACAGTATCCTTATTAAGGGGTCGCTAATTTTTGTGACAGACTCAGACTCAATTCCGCAGGCCGTGTCAAAGTACCACAAACTTTATTACTGCATGTCCTTATTGAGCGTCCGATAACTCTCTAATGCTTTGTTACTATGCATAATTTATAGAAAATCTTATGTTGAAAATAAGCAATGAAGCGTTGGGCAGATCGGGTAACTTCGATATCAAAAAGTACATTTATTTTATGAGTTCATGTGCAATTACTCAATCTATTTAACAGGACCGTACCTTTAATGTTGTAATGGAATACGTCTTAATTCGAAAATGTTGCATCTTCGTAATGTTGGGGTGTGTTCTAATAAATATTTTGCTACATTGGGAAATTATATTTCGTGATGTTACCATTAAAACACTGATCTAACATCTTTACATGTCTTTAGGCCCCTTAATTGCAACACGTTTTACGTTATCCGTTATCCTGAGCATGCGCATCAGTAAAGAAATAACCGTTTACGTTATTAGAGGATAACGTGTTCCTTTATTTACGTACGAGTAGCGGTAACGTTAAAAAGCAGAACGACGGTGTTGACATATTTCACTTATTTCTAATATTATTAATAAAATAAGCGGCTATAATAGAAATAAGAAATGTATTGTAAACTTAAATAAGACTTTCACGCCATTATTGCGTAATTACGGGTTTTATGTGAAAATTGTTTGGGCAAATTTGAACTTTGGCAACACTACTAACATCGCACGGACAGGTTCTAACTTCTAACCCGTAACCTAACTATTCGATTTTGAATTTTTATTTTCCGTTTTCCATTCCGTTAACCAATAGTGAAATGGACGAAGTAAGAAAAATAATGCGTTTTTTTTTGGTATTCGGAGACATTAAGCCAGCCGCCGAACATGTTTCTTCTGAAACTGATAAGGCAATTTCTGGGCTCTTATTAAATCGTAATCCACATCTCCCTGTTCCTTCCGGCGCAGAAAGGCAGCTTCAATGTTTTCTTCCATCTTAGCCACTTTTTGTTTAATAACAATACAACTTGACACAAAAAGTGAGGTTTATTTTATTAAGAGTGCGACAAACGCGGTATCAAAACGCACTTAACCTTATTTGCCTGAACATCTTATTTTTTTAACACTGCACATGATCAGAATAACGTTTAGCGTATAAGGCCAACGTAATTTTAAGGGGGCTAAAAACTCTCTAAGACCATTCTGTATTCCATTATCACTAAGGTTTGGTTGATAATAAACTACTGACATAAGCAAACAAGATAACTGTTTCATAAATTGTACTGCAGTAGTAAAATATTTAATTGAATATTTTTCGAACCCGGATCGTTTCATTCATAAGCGGTTCGCGAATGGTTCATTAATAAATTGTCTATCACGTTGAATTCATTTGATGAGTTATTTATTATACATATAGGCGGCAAAGGTTAGCATATAGTATTATTCCTACTGCATCTCAAATTGTCTGCACTTCTGTAAATGGTTTTTGCACGTATGTGCACATTAGTTCTATTGATTTTGCTAACTTTTTGTTAGTGCCATTAACTCTAATTATTGTAAAATTCTTTCAGATTATAATGTGATGAATTTGTGGTATTCCTGTATATCGTCCATTCGATCCTCGCCTCAAATGGATCCTGGACATCGACAAGAAAAGTGTTTCTGTGAAATGGCCGACTCGTTAGAGAGCGACAGTAGTAACTCAGAACCCCAACCGGTCTCAAAGGAGAAACGAAGCAAAATAAACCTCTTTAATTTACGCAGGGCCAGGGCTTTGCATTTTAATTCCAAACGAAGTAAAAAGGCTGCTCAAACTCAGGGATCTAGTTCTAATAGTAAGTACATATATAGAATGTATCGATATACTAAGAAATAAATTGAATACAGTGCGACCTCAATAATTCAGATTACTGAAGCAAAACAGTTTTTATTGAAACATTAAATATGTTTCTATGTTACTCATGATGTAGTATTAATTTGTGAAATAATTTGCCAGTTTTGTTTGATTTGTCCTTTTCTGTTGATCAAAAAAGCCGTTTTTTTAATTTTTGTATTAAGTACAAGGTTATCGTGTAGTGAAATATTATTTTGTTATGCCCATCTCATACACACGTTGAAACTATTAACTACCTCGTCGTTTCTAACAGTTGGGTATACAGAGTGTCTCACGGTCAGGACCCATTAGAATATTTCGGGAAATAAATAGCTACTGTGATTTTGACAATGGAATTTTCGGAGACTTTTTCAGGTGAAATAACAGCTACATTATGCGACGTCCGATTATACCGGAGTTGTCTCAAACTTACTTATTTTAAGTTTATCACCCTGTATAATGGTTTTTTTTGTTCTTTTCTTCATTTCCAAAAACTTTTATTAAAAGCTTTTCTACTCTACTCTATCCGTATCTTAGCAAAAAACATTTGTTCTCCAAATGTTACCATTAACAGGGTGTCGCCTAAAATTGAATATCTTTTCAAAGATGAAAGTGTGAAACTGAAAATCTCAGTTCCAAAATTAGATATTATTGTGCTCGATAATGAATTATCGGGCAAAGAAATCTAGATATCGCAAAGTGAAAAAACAACAATTTTTATGCTCTGTTAGAAAAACTGCATAAATGTCATTATTTTAAATGTGATGATACGTTGCTGATTCAATCAATGAATAGGCTAGAACATTTCCTATCTTATCTGTCCACATATGGTGTCCATATACCTAACTCCTGTAGTTTTAAACTTATTTACCGTTTTGTTTTTTATTGTGGCAACGTTTTTTACTTAATTGCGAACAATAATCAATAGTAATACACAATTTATTTTAACATAAATGTTCAATATGACCCCCATTGACTCTTAAACACGTTTGTTTAGTGTAACGTTAGACATAACGGCTTCGGTAGTAGCACTTCATATTTAGGTGGATCAAGTTGGCCCAAGGTTTTTCTTATTCGGGCTACTAGTTCTCCCTACAGTGACTGTATAAGACACAGTAGCGACAATAGGACCCTCCTCCCATCCGCCATTATGAGGCAAATCTATTTGGCGCCAACAGATCTTTGCTGTGATCTTTATCATAAACCGCATTTTAAATTGAAATTATTGCTATTATATAAAACATTTTTCATTAAATTAGACACCTTAGAAATGTGTGCTTACCTGCAAACAAGTGTTTAAATTCAATAGTACTCACACATAAGACCCACTCTAACTGTTGTTTCAAACAATTAAGTTAAATACAATTAACACTACATACTCAAATCTGTCCAAAGTTAACAATCGTTGATCGAAAACTTTGTTTTTAAAAATATAATATAGTAAGTGTGAGACAACCTCCGGTATAACCTGAAGTCGCATAAGGTCGCTGTTATTTCATCTGAAAAGAGCGTCTCTGAAAATCCCAATATCCAAATTTGCAGAATTCAAATCGCATTACTTACCGAAATATTCTAATGGACGGTGAGCGTGAGACACCCTGTATATAGCCCTATACATATTTGGGTAGGTGAGAGACCTAATTATTTTATCTTGTCTGCAAATGCGCTTAAAAATGGAACGACATTATGTTGATCGCTGAATAATTTTGCGCCACGCGAAGTTTTCTGAGATCGGGTTCAGTTTTTCTTTAAATATAAGTGATGATAACGAACGCTAACTAAGTTACCAAATAATATAAAATCTGGACTATAGAGTACACTAGTACAGAATACAATTGGAAAGCTTCTTCGGATCATCGAAAAATCTGGTTTACTGAAGATTCGAATTATCACGGTCGCACTGTAGTAAAATCGTAAGAAACTATCAAAATATAATAAACAACTACAGCTAATGGTTCATGTATAGCTAGAAACATTAAATGCTGTTACAGATTATTTTTAAACATAAAGTTAAAATTAATTTTATTGTTTCGGAAACATTAGAAAACATGCATAATATTTTTAGCTTTTAATATTTTTTGAGCTTTGCTAAAATCGAATGGCCAAAAATACTAGAAAGGTGATTTTGAGGTATAGAGGTCAAGATAATTTTTATATAGGTGTTTTTAATCCAGTGAAAAAATCTGCAAAATGGAGTATTAAATTCAACTATGCCGGAAGGAAAGAATCCAAAACAGTGCCTTCCAATCAGGACAATCGATCATGCTGCAAATGCACCTGTTTTAAATCATTAGATGAATCAGGTTCTTCTTCAATAGTCTTGAAAGAAGATGAAGAGATTTCGACGCAAAATAGTTCACTCGATGAAGCGAGATCATCTGATGGTAAGAAAATTATATCAATAAAATTATCTAAGATTCATGGCAAAGGATGGGAGGCTCAATTAGAACTTAAATGCACTGATATAAGGTGAAGTGTGCTAATTGTGAACATGGGGAAAATGTATTACACGATTTTTAGGAAATTAAAATAAACAATCAAATACACGTTAATGTAATGGTAAAATTTAACGAAAATGAGTGTTTAATTTAGGCTTTTCCTATTGCCAACTTAAATATATGTCTATTGTATACAGAGTGATTCAAAATTGGCGTCATTCCTTTTAAGGAGTGATGGAGGCTCACTTGGGGAGTACGAGAAAAATATTGAAAATGTTTTTTTTCGAAAATTTCTACAAGATATTAACAGTTGAAGATCGAATTTTCGAATCGAATCGAACAGCGGCCCTTTTTTTCCATTAACAGATAGTTACAGGTGGATAGCCCTTGTCAATAATAACAATAATCTGTCTATTTATCTATATAAACATCTGTTTATTTATAGTCTTCATATATTTGCCCCCATTATCACATTAGCCCCAAATTGTAGGACATATGTGACACAACATAAGTTAAGAATTCGCAATAATTTTTTAAAGAAATTGATTTTATAACTGAACAGTTTTACAGGCAATTGAAAATGATCTATAAAAAACTACATCACATTTACCTCATTCGATTTATAAAATTATTTATTATGGATTTAATGAACCTGAGTAATGCAAACGTACCTTTATAATAGGATGTGTAACTTTAAAGGGAATAATTCAATATGTTCTCCGCATAGAAGGGCATTCTACAAGTTCAGCTTCCGAACATGTTACTGAAGCCAACGACCCAGAAGAAAGTAGTCCCGAAGTACCCCAAGTTCAAATCATACGAACTGAAGGTGTAAGAGGCATTTATGGAACTACCTTGAACAGATCTGGACCTACGTCAAATATCGTCATATCCGCACCTTTCACCGACAATACTTGGTATGTGATAAATGTCTACAGCCTAAGTTAAAAATGTATACTAAGCATTCGTTCAACATTTCAATGGACCTTCCTCAATGTGTAGGATGCGAATGATGCACGAGGATTGCGACGAAACAGCTCGAATCGAAAGAGCTCGAGAGATAGAACAGGGTGTTGATCCTCCTGCAAATTTTAAAACAGTTAGAAGGGTGCAGTTACTCTGTTCCGATTGTGAATCCGAGAACACACAACTGCAAGCTCCGCCTAGGAGGTTAGTAAATGCAAAAAATATATCATCATCCCCGCACAGCTTCCCCTTTACTTAAATTGAATCATCTGGAAGCACGCAGTTAATGTCTTCTTAATAAAATTTTAACACAAGCACGATCATAAATCTATTGAATGCAAAACAGGTAGAGTTCTGCAACACTCTAGGAACGTCTTCAAGGACTATTACTTTTGGAATTCAGATTCAAACCGATCTTAATGTAGCTAAGCAAAGAGTTGTAAGCGCACCAGCAGATTATGGTTAATATGCAAAAACCGCCATAGAAAAACACTAAAATTTTACCAGGTTCAGTATCTACAACCTAGTTATTTTACGGATTTCTCTAAGCTTAATTTTGTTGGTTGAATCCGGCCTGGGCGTAAAATAGGCGATCCCACTGTACAGAATATCTGAGCCCTAAAAGATAAACCCCCTAAAAAAATTGATTTTAAACTGGAATATTCGGAACAACCCTAAACGTTACCTATTAAATTAAAGATAAACATAACATGTACAAAAATAGAAAATCTCCGACGTTTTAATAAAGCTGGATTTATAAACCCGGCGTTGCTTGAATTTCCCCGTTTCCATGGAGTTGGTAATTAACTAAATTTAAAGCTGAATTTAAAAACTCTGCAGTTGGTGCCGTTCATCGTTTGTAGTTCGCACTTGCGCAGTTCGTTACTCGTTTCCATTAGGTTTCCATGGCGTTGGCAATTAACCATTTTGTCAAAACGAGGCCGTGTTTTCTTTATGTTTTGTCAAGATGACAGATCAAATTATTTTCGTTGAAGATCCAGACTTTAGCAGCTTAACAACATAATCAATAAATTAAATCATATAGGCATACGATTGACAGACTGACAATCTGACCAATCAAATTTCAACGTCGCCAACTGCGAACTATTTCAACTATTTACAACAGCAACAGAAACGGCATGGCAAGTGCACGATCGGCGAACAGCGCCAACTGCAGAGTTTATAAATCCATCTTTATTGTACCGGTGACTGTTTGTGCAGTTGGCGATGTAACCAATAGGAGAAAGAGTTTCATATCACGTGGGTGACTGACAGTGACATTTGTCAAAACGAGGCCGTGTTTTGTTTATGTTTTCGACAAGATGGCAGCTCAAGTTATTTTCACTGAGGATTCAGACGTTAGCAGGCGGTTAATACAACGTATTATCAATACTTTCGTATGCGTATGAGTTGCTTTGTAGTTATTAAAACCTCTGGTAACCATGAAAAATACAGAGTGACAATAAAATACGCAAGGATAAACTGTCAGTATTGTTAACGAGAAGTTGTTTGTCATGGACTTCATAACCTCGAATTGATATGTATACAAATAATAATCAATTACAAGCAGTGGCGGAACTTCGACTTTCGTCTCGCGTACCATGTACTATTTTTCTTGATCCTCGGTGGAAAGTGGCCGAGAAAAGTCTACGGTTTTGAAAAAACGGCTTTGAAGATGTTGTCAAAACAGTCAGATGACAGTCAGTGACAAAATCAAGCGGTCAGCGTGCGTCGCGGAAGTTATTACTTTCCACACAGGGTGAAGAAGATTTGTAATCGGTAAAAGTGATGCTTTCGCCATCGAAAACAGTGGCAAAATGACGTACAGTCAGCGTCACATAAAAGTAGACGATTAAATAGTTCTGTAAATCTGACTTTCTATCTCCATCTACTTTTGCGTAAATGACAAACATTTCCTATTAGCAAAATGACACATTCAAAAGTATTTGAAAAACTCGAATAAATACATTAATCGAGAAGGGGATGGTCAACAAAAACAATAGCTGAGAGCTTTGGAAACCCGAAGAGCACGATTTATCAAATTGTATATTGCATATTGTATTTATATTTGAGGTATTTCACAAAGCCTAATTTACCAAAATCAGGAAAAATCGCTTTTAGGACTCGTCTACTATTATGTGACGCCGACTGTACTTTCCACCAGGCAATCAAAAAGTCTCAAATAAGGCAAATCAAAATGTTACTGTGGCATATTCACAAATCTATCAACTGATTTTTCATCAAAAGATTGTAGAAGAGAACTATTTTAATATAAAACATTTTCGTAATTTCTCTTCGAATGCTTCATGACAAAAACAACTTTTTCGAAAAAAAAAATTCTTTTATACTTTGCAAGTGAGCCCCTATTACCCCTTAAAGGAGTGACGTCAATTTTGAATCGCCCTGTATACATAAAACAGTCGATAAATATTAAGTATTCCTATTATTTTTATCAGCTTTTGAATAGAAAAATATGTTTAAATTTTTCTTGTGCCATATCGATTTGCGACTAATTTTATATGTTTTTTTTCTCGTTTTTACACTCCTTGTAATGTAAGAGTATCAATACTGTTTTTTAATATAAGTCTAGAGTGAGTGACGATATAACCAGTAAAACTTACAAAATTTATTGATTTTTCTTTGTTTTGCTTATCAGAATTTTAGAAAGAGCTTAAATTCAATAAGACTAAGTCATAAAGGCAAAGCTATTTTTAGTTTTAAATTGTTTCAGTATCCTGAAAATTTACCGTCATTGGACTTTTTATATTACGTTGACGATATCTGGATTCTAGTATATAGTATATAGTTGTATACAGAATCACAGTGGTGCAATTTGCTGCATTCATTTTATTATTATAAACAAGCTAAATTGAATATTTTCCAATGGTTAAAAATACTGAATGATCCATGAATATTACATTAAATTGTTTCTAAAAACACTTCTATTACGAGCGCCCAAGATAATTCTAGCAATATAGTTCTCGAATTAATTTCGGCTTGCTTCTGTTATTGTTTGTTTTCCATTAATTAGTTAACATTTTTATTTTTTGCCTACCTGACCGTTGAGACTGAATGAAGATATTTCATCCTAATGTTACACCCTGTAAAAACACTGTTTCGATTTTTTGTTTGTTATATTGATGGCATTTATCTATTTTGATCAGGTTGCAGCTTGTCTGTCCTCCCGATTTGAACGTCGAATCGTTGAGGGCTCTGTTCCAAAACCATGTGCAGCTGAGATCCTGTCCAGTAGATTCTATCACGGGCTGCCATACTCAAGTGGATTTTATACATTGTTTAGTACCTGATCTACTGAGCATTACAAACTGCAGCTTTTATTGGGGTAAGTGCGCGGAAATTTCGAAAATTAATGGTTTTGGTTCAGCTATTTAATTGATCTGATACTGAAAACGGGGATAAAAATATTGAATTAGAAATAACAATGTTTCGCGTATAGATGTGTTTGTTTAAGAATAGAGTTAAGAATAGAATTGTGTTAATGTATTTTTTTAAATTTGATTACAGGAAAAATGGACCGCTATGAGGCGGAAAGGCTTTTAGAAGGCAAGAGGGAAGGCACTTTCCTTCTTCGCGACTCAGCGCAAGAAGAATTTCTATTCAGTGTTTCCTTCCGTAAATACGGCCGTTCATTGCACGCAAGAATCGAACAATGGAACCATCGATTTAGCTTCGATTCCCACGACCCGGGAGTATTCACCTCAGATACAGTTTGCGGATTAATAGAACATTACAAGGATCCGAGTAGTTGCATGTTTTTCGAACCAATGCTTACTTGGCCCTTGCATAGAAACTTCACATTTTCGTTGCAACATCTCTCTCGTGCTGTCATCGTGAATAAGTTGATTTACGACAACATAAATCACTTGCAGCTTCCGAAAACTCTGAAGAATTACCTCAAAGAATACCATTACAGGCAGAAAGTAAGAGTCGAGAGGTTTGATGACGATGTGCAATGGATAGAGTTGAGTAATGCGCCGCCTTGACCTGGTAATGTAGCATATTGCTTGCATTTCGGATTTACGTAGCTTTTGTAAGATCTTAATTACTTCATAAGAACTTAATTATTGATTAGATTTCTTGAATTATTACTGAAGTTGCCTGTACACTTAGAGAAATGTTTCGAAATTAACTTTAAAGTATTATAATTTTTTGATTAATTAGTGGGTTCGCCAGATAAATCGCGCATTTCGGTTTTTAGCCTGAGCTCCAACAATTATTTCAATTTGATTCTTCGTGGAATAATGAAGTATCTCATACATGGTGAGTGTTGAAAATTGTTACAGTATTATCTGCATCTGATCGTAGTTTAACTGTTGAGCAGTTGAATCCAATCGATATTTTTATTTACCTTAAATCCGGTGTTTGTGCAAATTTTTTATTTCTCGATCTGAATTTTTGACGATTTCGAGAAAAATATTGTTTTGACCTCCGTTTTTAGACAAAAGTTGTTTGGATTTCTTGATCATGACGTAAATGTGGAAAACGATTGGAATTAGTTTGCAATCACGGGTATATTTTGAGCCTCTCGAATTAGACACGCAATACAGATAGTGTCATTGAATGAATCATTGTTAAGGTCTTAATTAATTGATTAACTCAGTTTCAATCACTTATGCGGATTAATAAAAATCAAACTCTTACCAGTCCGAAGTATCGTTACTCTTAGGTGACACGGTAATTTATCGCTACAGTCGTGGAACACAGAAACGTGTTGAAACACGCTCGTTGTAAAATGCAAAGAAGGAATCCAGTCTTAAGCCTCTGTCCCATAAACGGATGTTTATACGATGGTACGATGATACGAAAGTGTTTCTATTGGTTGGAGATCTGCCAATTTGTCCGCCGTCGTGCGAATTATCGAACCATCATATAAACGGCTTTATCAGTGAATAGTTGATTAGCACAGTTTTCAAAGAAATTCTCAAGGGATAGACTGAAATATAGTCGGCGATCGTGTCGTTTGAGTCTCCGAATTTTTAATTTTTACTTTAAAGAACACTTTAAATTAAGCAGATTTAGCGAAACCATTCCAGGATGGTCCATAAATGAAGCCAAAAATCACTCACAAAGTTTGAGGGAAATCACCATTTTCATTTCTTACTTTTGTTTTTTGTTTGTTTTATTTAAAAAATCAAAACAACGCAAAATACGTAGCAACACCGCATTGTGCTGAATTCGCGAAGGAAACAAATAATCCGCCATCTGACTGTCGACGCGCTAGAAAAGACGTTAGAAAAGATGCTCAAAATTTTGCGAACAACAATTATTATGCGTCTTAGCGACAATTTGTAGTGTTTGCATGTGCAGTTATGAATTGGACGTAAAACACGATTTCGTGCATAAATACAATGTGGTGATAATAAAAAAATTACTTCTAGCAACATCCTAAAATGTTTAATTTTCAATAAAAAAATATATCAACAAAGAACAATAAACAACTATTTTGACAACATACTCAGCCGGTTTCGAACTGCACCTGCACCGAATTTACTAAATATTCATGTCACATTCGTGGAAATTTGTTTGTAATTTTTTATGGTCTCCCGGTAAGTGGTTTTGGAAAATCGAATTGCAAAAGTTTGTAAGTGTTTTTTGGCTTAATTTTTGGACCATCCGGAAATTTCTGTTGTCTGTGTTCTTTACGGTAAAGAAAGAAACAACTAAAAATTCGGAGGGACTCAAACGACCCGATCACCAAAATATGCCTTTAAATAATTCAAGTGAAGAAGATACAATATGATCCGATACAAGAATTTACGGATGGTTACCGAGTTGTAGACATGATAAATTACCACGTACTGTAACATTTTAATCCTCACTTTGCTTTTAAACATTGCTGTGAAACCTCTTTAATCCGGATAGTTCAGTATTGTTCGAAAATGTCTCTAGTCACATTTATATAGAACCGTTAGAGTCAAAAATAGTAACAAAAACTAAAAGAATTCGACTTTCAACTGGATCAGATTGACAATGCCGGTGAGAGTGGTTTATTTTGGAAGGTTGTACCAGACAAAACCTTAGCCCATAGGCGCGAGAAGTCTGCTCCTAATGGCAAAATAAATTATTATTTATATTAAATATAAATGCAGAACGAAGCAACTTTACCATGAAATATATGTATTGACGGGCGTTAGACAGAAAAATGCCTGATAATTTTTTACAGTGCAATAAATGAGACTTGTATATGCAAACCTGTTTTCATAATCAAATTGTTACTTTTATTGAAAAGGTATCTTAATAAAATAAATGTAAAAGGCAGCTTATTAAATTTTGAGTATCAAAACAATCCAAGTCAAATACCAATCTCTTTTGCCATTCATGCTTTTATTTGACCAGTTTTTCAGCAATCCGGACATATCGGCAATTCTAATACACCCCGTGCAATAATTGGCCGGATTAAAGAGGTTGTACTGTATACATATGAAAATAGTTTGAAAATGTGTACATATTTTTGTGCGTTGAAATATTTATGAAAACGATAAAACACGAATTTATCTAAAGTAAATTAAGTTTCATATTTTTATTGTCATTCGACTTATTTTTACGGATACTACAATTTTATTGATCCTGTAATTTAAAAAAATTAGCAAATTTGATAATTTAATTATACATTACATAGTTTGTCTTCGATAGTTTCAATTTAGGGCATACAGTAGATAAGTACATATCTTAATTTTTAATACTCATAGTATTTTTAAATGCTTTAAATAGAACTTTATATTATATTCTCAACACTTAATTGTTTTCATTGAATAGTAAATATTATAATGCATATTTTGTTAACGTACGATATTTTTCAATGGGATATTTTGTTTTGTTTTTTTTTTATTGCAAATATTTATAATCAAATGTATAAGTGGGTTGATTGGATTTGAAATTGACAAAACTGTTGAATATACATGGATCATAAACGTGTTTTTATTTTTAGTTCGTTATGGTAATTGCCAATTTGGCAATTATTGTATCTTTTAGTAATACGAAATAACTTAGATTTACTCAGAGAAACATGTGAAAAAATCAAGTGCCTATTTAAATCTTGCGTTTCAAACGTAACCGCCGATGGGTCCTATTCTGTAACTATTCCGTTAAAAATTAAAGGCCTTCAAAAATTATATTTTTAACGGTCCGTAACATCGCAATCGACTAATATCTTTTATTCCATTTGATATTGTTGTATACATATACTTCTTCTAAGATCCGGCATGCAATATAATTCTAGTGGTATTTTGTTAAATACCATAAAAACAAAAAATAAATTTACATTTTTCCTCGGGAATATGTGGAGGTGTGTGATATGTGAATATGTGTCCTGTGGAAAAATGCTTGGCAAATCAAACAGCAAGGGCACACAATAACAGTACCTTTCTTTATTTTGGATGATTTCTTCTATCAGAACTTTTCCACCAATATCATAAAACCCCAAACTCGACTACTTTTAAGCTACTCTTAAAAATAAGCGGGTAACCGATATTTGTAAGGGAATTAGGTTATGTGTTTAACGGACAATCGAGTTACAGAATAGAAGACCATTTGAAAATTAGGCAGCCGTAAACTTTATAACCTCCGTTAACTTTTAACGGAATTGTTACAGAATAGGGCCCTATGTCACCAAAACAACAAGTTTGGAATGAAGAAAGTGTAGGTTTTTTCATATATTTTATTGTTGCTTACACAAATGTCTAAAATAACTTAACAAATACTTCTCTTCACCATTTTGTTATGACTCATCAGTTTTTACTGTAATTACCCCAAAAGACTTTCGTATACATTAGCACAGAGCATTTGCAATTTTTCACTCACTATCAAATGATGTGTAAAATTTTGTGGAAATGACTGCTTAGATAGAAGTCCGTTGAGAATAGGAACAAGTTTTGCTAAAGGTTTCTTGGCCATAAATGGATTTTCAAATTGGTCAGGGCCACCATTCGCAGTGATTTCTGTTATTTTTGGCTTATTATCAGTGAAAAACTCTGATAGCTGATCTCCCAGTAATACAAAACCAGTGTTAACATTGTGAATGACTAAGAATTTAATTTCATCACTCTCGAGTAGATCCGCTGTGTCTCTTAACTGGAAATTAAACGTAAAGTTGTTGTTAAACATACTTAGTGATTATTACCATATTGCTATAGACATCATCAGAATTCGGTGGATCATTCTTAAATATATATTCTCTAAGATGATTGACTGGATTCGCTGCATTCGCATCCAAACTGCTTTGAAGAGACCAGAATATCGCCTCAAAATCACTAAGTTTCATCATCTTCTTCAAGTCAATTTTCTGGACTAGTTTGTTCACCTAATCGCAAGAGTAACATCTACAGTTTTATATGCACTTATCGATGATTATACCAGAATATTACCTCAAATTCCATAACTTTGGCCAGCCTTGCAACGCCTGTGTTGAGAAAGTGCTGACATAAAGACAGATATTTTTCTTGCATATCTGCGGGCACACTAGTGGGATCTTTGTACAGGTACCCTCCCACTATGTTCAATTGCACTTTTAAAGTCAGCACTAACATTACAAGGGAATAAATTACACAGCCAGCTCTAGTGAAAACTTGAACCTTAAAAGCATTATGTTTAATCAATAGGAAAACCTAATTTTTAACAATACATTGCAAATAAAAGCGGGGAAGATGGTAAGTTGATTGGTCAACAATGCCGCAGTAAAATCGCGGGATCACGAAGAAGTATTACCCAATGCATGCCCTAAGGGAATTATGCAACAGAAATTTAATTTTAAAAAAATTAAATTATTTTATAACAATGGAACATCCTGGATAACTGAGGTCGAATCATCGTAACGTATCGCTCAGAATTAACACTCGACACATTTTCAGCCTCATCCTCGAAAAAATATGGGCCGATTATTACCAACGATTCATAAACTAATGGTAGGCCATGACCAAACCCCACCACTTGTTGGTGTGAATTGGACAAAGAATTGCAATTTTGCAAAATGCTCTATTTTAAACTATTTTTTTTTAACTCCTGGTTCCGTTAATATTAATTTCACAGGCAAACATTATATAGAAAAGTTTTAGGAAATTTCATTTCAAATAAAATTACATTAGAAGTAGAAAAACATTTTACAAATCAACTGTCATTTTTGACATATGATTTGACATATCATTTTTTTTTAATGGAAACCATATTCGATTTTGCTTTTATTAAACAGATCATTTTATTACGATTTCAGTAATATATTGCATCGTCAGGTTCATTCGAAAATGAAGTGTCTCCGAATGATTTTTACTTTTAGTTGATCGAAGTAAGTAAGAAAATAATACAAGGCAGACAGCATTGTTTCCATAGTAATATATCAGTTATTATCTGAAATAAATCAGTTCTTTTTTAATATCTCTGACCAGGGAACCGGACCGGAACCGATATAGACCCAAACCCGGAACGTAACCGTTTTTTTTTCGACCGGAACCGTAACGGAACCCTTATTTGATATTAATACACTGTTAGGTGCTGAACCGGAACCGACATTTTATTTCGGTTTTTTCGGTTCTGCTTGTAACGTTTGAAAGAAATCACTGTACATTTTAGAAGCAAATGAAAATAATCATTTATCCTCCTGCAAATGAATATAAAATTACGTTTCTGTGTTCTGGTGAGCGGCACTTCTTTTAGTTAGTTCCTGGAATCGTTTTAATAGTCGACGCCGCGACGCCGTCAAAGGGAGAAAATATTAACGCTATTCTTTGCGGCTGGTCCTAAACGACAAGATCTTGCATAATTAACAAACTAACAATTTTTTTATAGGAAAAGACAAATTAAGCGTGAAAGCCGTTATTAACCGTTGATCTCAATGATATGAAAAAGCAAAACACTTTTTTTTGCCTGTGGTATTTACAGTATTTGAATAAATAACTTGAGTACCTAATATCCTACCGATTAATTGCCTCTTCACAGCACAGTGCGCCTGCGCAATTTGGAAATGAAAAAATTTGCATCAACATTTACAAAACAAAAATAACTCTACACGGTTACAATCTATGCGCTTACTGATGCCTACAATTATGGGTAGAAAAATAACAAATGTTGCTCACAAGCAGTTTGACTTCATTAATTTAGAAGATAAATCTGTTTGCAAATTGTGTAAGATGTCAATAAAGGTAGGTAATTAAGTTATGTAATGTTTCTTGATATAAGATATTTTTAGGGGACGGTACGTAATTGTTCGTTGTTATATATAGATGTTGGAACCGAAAAAAAAACCGGAACCGGAACGGAACTGAATTGAAAATTATTTTCTAAACCGGAACCGAAATTTTAAATTTTGCCTTGGACCGAAACCGGAACGGAACAGTTATTTCGTTTCGGTCTGGGTCCTTGTCTCTGACAGACAAATTTGAGACTGACAGACTTAAATTTGTTTCCAGTAGAGCATTAAAAATTGCGCATATTTGCCCATTTAACCATCTCCCGTACCAGTCCATTTATCCTTACTTACCCCTATATTGTGATACAATCGTATAAGAAATTTATTTAACCAGTTCATTGCTTATGGAATGACTTTTTCTAGTAGTTCCTTAAATCCTTCACTCCAGATATCTTACCTTCAAGGTATTCCACATTTCTATCTTGTTTTCTGGGTGCTTTTTCAATATTTCGATTGTTTCTTCTGAACTCACAGTATGGTATATGCTTTCAAGCAAGGAAGCGGACAAATTGACGATTGTCTGATTGCACGTACGATTAATACTTTCAAAATGCGCTTGCTTCCGATTTCTTTCGATAAATTCCATTGCCTCTTTCTCATGCCATTGCCGTAACCTGGTTTGGGCATATCTTGTGAGGAAAACGGAACCTGTGTTGAAAGTAATGTATTTAAATAACACATACAAACTACTGGATAAATGAATATTACCTGCTACTAGTGCACCTCCTATTAAAAACTTGTTCCTATGCCTGGATAGAAACCCTTTGACTTTGGAAAACACAGACATGGTTGCTTTGATATTTTATATTATTATTTAAATTATATTTTAAAACAAGWTAACAGCCATATCACTCACTAACAGCAAAACTRCAAGAAAACAAATTGTATTTATTTTCAATTAACCTTTGCCTGAGACTAACCTGCAAGGCTGTCAAAGTTCAAAGCTTTTAAAGCAGAGCGCGTTAGCATAAGGTTAGCTCATTATGCACGTACGTCAGAGACATCGAAAAACGCTCCCAGATTCTAATTAGTAGATATTTTATTTATCAAAATTCGAAGAATGGTTATCACTAAAAAAACCAAT